ATTTAACAACTAAGACAGGTGGTATGATTAGAAAGAGACAGAGCGGAAAGAGTTGGATTTATTTAACATCAGTGTGCTAGACTTCTTATAAGGTAAGGTGTCCCGAGACCTGGACTCCCCCTCTGAGTTAGAAAGGCTACGATCCCGACCCTCCAAGCAGACAAAAGACCTAACCCAACAGGAGACTCCTCCTTCTCCATCGTACAGACAGAGAACCAGAGCTGAACCAACAACAACAACAAGACTACATCAAGACTGCAGCCAGAACTATCTCCACCTGTGGCATCCAGAACCAAACAGCATGCTGACATACAGAGAGATACTCTCATCAGCCCCTCAGACAGGACAAGAGAGCAGAATCCGCCCTCCATAAAAACAGCAGAGAGACTGTAAAGGAGGAGTGCAACAACAGTGGCATGATGGGGCTGCAGAGGTAACTGGGCCAATGGCTGCCTAAAAAAGTTACAGCGGATGGATTCAACAGCTGATGGACTGAAGAGAAGACAGAATCAGAGGAGTTGGCATGGTCGATTAGAAGTGAGGAGGCCGGGGTCACGGCTTGAGAAAACCAGGGGAGGAGAAAAGGAGAACGGGAATGAGTGAGTTACACATAAACACACTTATTCACAAAACGCACATTTAAATAACTTGAATTAACTTCATAAATATGTAAAGACAGAAAGATTTATTAACCATGAATTAATCAATTGGTAAATTAAAAATAGCAGTAAAGAGGAAAATATTAAAGTAAAATGAGAATCATCCTAAAACACACTGACAGAGTAGAACCATATTCTTCAATATTTTCAATCTTTTAACAAATCATTCTTTAAGACATTTTTATTCACGTGTGAATAAAGTAGTGATCTCATTGGTTACAATATTGATCACCATTAAAAGGATAGTTTTAGGAACCACTCTATAAGACAAATCTTTATTTGTATTAATAATGTTGAAGAGAGAGCTGGTGCCAAGCCACATATAAAATTCCAATCTAAAGTGTTGATTTCACCATTGTGGCATAGTTATTACCATAGGACTTCGGTTTTAAATCCTTGATAAAGGAGGGAGTAATTGTTGCATGTTCGGACACCCAAGGTTCCACACACTGCTAAAAGAGTTTAACATTGTTTTTTAAGTAGACCAGAATTATAATGAGCTATGAAATGCAGAGCGACACAGATCCTAGTAATGTTTTGACTCAAGATAATAGTTATTGTACACAAGTTTCTGAAATAGATCATTAGACATTTTAATACTAATTAGGTGTAAATGGATTGCAGTAGTAGTAGTACTCGAAGGAAGTGAATTTTGTACCAAGTTCCAGGAAAAGTGGGAGGCAGAAGTCCCAATGACAAGTGAGAATCATCTTGAAAATCATAGTTGAAATCGTGACATATTTTTGTAGACAAAGGATACTGGCCTAGGCTGAAATGTCAAAGTCTCTGCAGAGCACGACACATGGCCAAAAAAGACGGAGACCAACTGACCTTTGACCCTGACCGACAGTGTAACTTGACAAGGCACTGTGGATGACTGACTCTGGGGTGAAGCTGACCAAACTTGACATGACAACCAGACAGTGTGAGTGTGAATGAATGCCGGCATGTGATCAGTGTAACTGCATGATTCTAAAACAATAACCAACCAAGCATGTTTTTGGACTAACAAATTATTTTGGAGCTCCAAGGGAAACGAGAGGTTTCCTAAAAATTCCACAAAAAGGGGAAACCGCACATGTGATATTTTCCTCTCACATGAGTTGGCGGTTTGCAAATGTAAAACTAAAATCTGAAGATTCTGTTTCTTTTAGGCCTGAAGGACGGAGAGGAACACTTCTTTTCACTGAAGTGTTTACTGTGGAAATAATGATAATGGATGTCAAATTGTAAATAATGTTCGTTATGTCCCTAACCAATTACCTGACCGTTTTTGTTCCCCTCCCATTACAGGGTTTTGTTACACATGATTTAATGTGTAAAAGGGGGGAGTGAGTATAATGTATAAATGTCAACATGGCTGTAAAATTCACAATTTAAATTTTTCTTTTAAGGATTGACAGAAACCTTCCGCCCCAACCCAGATGTTCAAACTGAGCATTGAATGTAATTAACCTGCTCCATATCTGGGGATAAGATACTGTTTGATGAATGTTGAGATGTTTCTAAATATTGATTGAATTATAACAGGTAACACAGAATCAGTGGCCAAGGGGCTACTGTGAAACCGAAGAAGTTGACCTGTGATAATGAAACAATTTTGTAATATTTTAACAGACATTAGAGCAACTGAGGTTTGAAATGTAGAAAGAATATATTACAGTTAAAGCTAAAACATAGTAGTGTATTGAGACAGAATTTAATTTAGACAACATCATGTAACTAGCCTGGTAAAGAAGTAAAAGCCATAGACTTTATTGTTTAGGTCATTATGGGGATATACATTTCATCTAAATTTAGAATAGAAAGACATTTGATGACAGTTTGTTGGAATTCTGTATTCATTTTTTCAGCGTGATAATATCTAAGCACTGACAGGTAAAAGCAGTATCACCAGGAAATCATTCACTTTGTTAGTATCGTGATTTTGGTTGTTTTTGAATCCATAACATTAGTGTGTTTCTTTACCAGAAACATTAGCAGTTCATATTATATTTGGATTTTAAATAGGATTTCATTTAAAAATAAACACGGATGCTTGTCAGAAATTCAGAGCTATTGAAATATGTTATTTAGTTTACCTAAAGATGTTGAGGTTCTTATTTAGTTGGCACAATCCAAGTATTAAGATTCTGAAGCTGCACTGGCAGATAAGAGGTCTACAATTAATTTAGAAAACCTGTTCACAGACGGCTGTTGTTTCAAGACACCCCACCAACAGGCTCCAAGCGGGTCAAAACAGCTGAGCGTAGGCTTGAGGGAGTTGTATCAGATTTCTCCACACAGGTTGCTGGCGCCAAAAGGGGGACCCGAGAAGCACGAGGCCGACACAGCAGAGTTCGTCTGGCTGAAAGTCATCAGGACAAAGTGGCTCAACCCCAGGCTCTCCGGCCCCGACCGAGTGATCCAGCGGACCTCTTATGCCGTCTGCCTGGGAGAAAAGGGGGACAGCTCGTACCACGGGAGCCAGTGTGCGGCGGGGAAACCACCTACTAGGACCAGGGGACGACATCAGGACGGACGTGGCCCTGGCAGACGTGGACTACTCGGAAGTAGCGGACTGGAGGAGCAGGACCCTGGAGACATCCTTACAGCAGACGACCCGGGAGGCATCATCAGCGGGCCGGAGAAGGAGGATCGGGAAGACATCTCTACAGCATCGACCCGGAAGCCGCCATCAGCGGGCCGGAGGAGGAGGAGGAAGACATCTCTCTAGCAGGCAGCCCAGAAGCTGCTGTCAGCGGATCGGGGGGACAAAGACACGGCAAGCCAGGACGGCACGGGGGGACTTGTCGAGGCAGCAGAGGAGTCTACTTCTCTCTGATCAGTTCCACCCGTGAAGGGGAAGCCGCATCTCCCCCTCCCTATTAGCTGTCCTTGTGGGCTATTCCTCCGAGGGGGGGGGGAGGGGGAGACCCCTGGTAGACTCTCTCCCGGTAGGCTGTGTGCTTCAGAGCTGGGTAACTAGCTCTCGGTAAGGTTCTGCCAGACGGGGTAACTATCTCTCGAATTTCTTGGTTGTTGGCTGAGTGGAATGATTTGATGAGAGATGTGTGTATGAATATTATAAATACCGCTACCTGTGGGGAAATCTTGTCCCCCGAATTTTGCGGACAGGTATGGGTTTTTGAGTGTTAATCCGCCATCTGTGTCGGAAAAAGTGTATGAATATTATAAATACCGCTACCTGTGGGGAAATCTTGTCCCCCGAATTTTGCGGACAGGTATGGGTTTTTGAGTGTTAATCCGCCGTCTGTGTCGGAAAAAACGGTATGAAACTGATGTGAATTGAGTTGGTGAAATGAAAAAGTTGAATGCGCTTTTTATTGTCACTGGTCTTTTTACGAGGAAATACCTCTAAATTCTATCGGGAGAATTTTAAAATGTCACAACTGAAATGGGCAGTTGAAATTAAAACATTTTTGTAATAAATGTAAGACTGTGAATTAAAGTTTCATTTGAACATGATCACAGCACGGTTTTTTGTTAGGATGATTATAATGTTGTAAAGAGAGAAGGTAAAAACCCTGTATTAGTTGGACCTATTTTTCTTCAAATAAACTGAATCCCACCAGTTGGATTGGGATACTTTAAAAGACACCTGTGCTCTCCTCTCCTGCTTAAAAGGTAAGACTGCACCCTGCCACACACACTTAGGTAGGAGCACACTCTATTTACTGATATCAAAATCCTTCGGGATCGCTTAAACAGATTAAAAAAGAGTTGTCTGAATTGAAACAGCAGTTAATTGAACCTGGTTCTTCGGGGGGTTATAGAGGTGAGATCTTGCTGACGTTGGTGGATCTGAGCCAAGCAGCAACCTTACATAGACTCAATAACTTCGGAAAGGTCAATTAGTAGGTCAGAGTAATTTACCGGAATAAATTATCAGGACCTCTCCGACTCTAAACAATACCATGGTACGTACCATGGTACATTACTATATGTGCTTTGGAACAAATACCATGGTACGTACCATGGTACATTACTATATGTGCTATGGAACAAATACCATGGTACATACCATGGTACGTACCATGGTACATTACTATATGTGCTATGGAACAAATACCATGGTACTATAAAATATACCATGGTACTATCTGTCAAAAAATAATGTGGTACATGTACCGTGGTAAATATACCATGGTACTATGGTACGAGTACTATGGTAACATAGCTGTTGGAGGGCTTGATATCCCACTACCCCTGGCACCATAACAATTACAATGGTAAATACATATGTTCTTGTATTTGTGTCACACCTGTACCAAACTGTAGATACTGTAGAATGTACAATGGTAGGCTATATCAAATAAAAATAATGGACTGAGGCAAATATAAATAATACATGGATTCAACATGTATTAACACGTATTAACATTTTTAATTTAAACTACAGAACATACAATATTGAATGCAAACAAACATAATGGCCTAACGTGGCAGAACAAATTGATTTTTTAAAATGTTTTCCTTTTGAGGATCTTCGCCGAATTGGAGAGTTTCTGGCGTATATAGCCCTTGATCTCCGCCTCTGTCTTCTCTTTGAAGACAGATTTAACTTCACCTAAAGAGAGAAAGAAATAAAGAAAAGGGGAATTAACAGATGAAGAGACAAATTACAAAAACAGACAGTCAGGTAGACAGCAGGGATGCAAACTCATCAGGTATGAAAAAGGTGACAAGGATCCGAGTCCCCCGACCACCACACCCCACGGAAAATAGGCTTTAAAATGAGGAATAACAGGATGTTAGAAGTACGCCAGAAACGCCAAAGAGTCACATCTAATAGAAATATATAAAAGCATTTATTTTAATTGTGTCAGTTTATAATTTTGGCAGCACTGTTGAGCATTTTGAAAATGTATTTTCATGCCTCTGTTCAAGGCTTAGTCTTTCTATCTGTATAGCCACTGGTGTTAAGTAACTACGTTCATAAACTCAAGTACTATACTTGGGTACAATTTTGAGATACTTGTACTTTACTCAAGTATTTCAATGTTTTGCTACTTTGTACTTCTACTCCACTACAGTTCAGAGGTAAATGGTGTACTTTTACTCCACTACATGTATTTAATTCCTTTAGTTACTTTACAGATGTGGATGAATGATGTGAAATATAATCAATTGTTAAATCAGACTTTAGTTCCACCTGGAGTAAATCCACAAGCTACCCTGCAGTATTTTATTTATCGTACGATAAGTCAATTAATTGCTTATCGCGACAGGCACACAATAAAACAGTGGAAACAAGCATGTGTTTGACTTTCATTAGTGAATGAAAAGTTGTGCCCTTTATAGTTTATGTCCAAGATTGTGTATTTGTATATATTGTATATATATCCTATATATATATGCTAAGGTCCCGCTGCTGACACGATAGCAGTCATTTAGTGCGCATATGTGTAATTAAACCCATGATATCAAAATCTCACTCCAGCCAAGGACCCAAAGTTGGCAACCCTGTAATATATAAAAAAATAACACCATGTGCGTCATGATGGCACAAACAGCTCGCGGCCACACTAATGACTTACAAACAATCTTCGTGAGTTCAGCAGAAGGAAGGGATGGTCGTGTCTCCCCCCTGCTTGATGCCCCAAGCCCAGTCACGCTGTGAGCAGCCATAAACGCTGTTGTGTACAGACCATGCATTAGGTCGTTGGTGTACTTAGCTGCTGTGGACTTACTGCACCGATCTTTTATGGCTTGTTTAATATCCTAAAAACATAAAATAAGTAACACACTGTGTCATATTATCAGGACATGATTTGAAATAGCACTATTGTGTTTCTAAGACAACAATTAAAATCATCCAAATCAATACTTGATAGTATACCTATTAGACAATATGAAACTTACAAGACAGACAGCATCGGTGGAAATCCCACCATCCTCCAAAGGCAGATGTGTTGTGGAAGACTGCTTATTTTAAAAATAAAAACACACAATAATCTTTGTTACTAATAAGAAACTACAGAGAAGATACATAGACATACAGACAGACAGGTACACACATAAACAGAAAATCAGGCAAAGAATGAGAAGCCGGAGCAACATGGCCTTAACGTGGACTAAAATGGTTAACAAGAAACAATGCAATGGCAAAAATAAATATAAATATGGGGAAATATAATTAAATGTTATGAGTTCTAATTTGGATGTTTAAACAATTATGTTTAGGTAATGATTGCACTTCCATCAATTAGTGATCAGTTAAATCAATAATCATCTACTTGATTTATAACCAAGAACAATACTAATAACAATATATAATAGCTGTAATTCATGTGATTACACAACAACCTATCATGTACCTTCAAACTTGGTCCAGCAGTTGAGGTGTGAGCCGTAGATCTTCCTTCCTCTTCTGGTTTTCTCTCTTTAATTGAGTGTGTTCATGAAATAAACAAAGTTTAAAAAATGACAACACAAAGCTGATTTAAAGACATAGCAGATGTAAACAAGTAACAAAACATACCACGGTCTGAGTGTTGCTCAGCGAGCTGCTGCATTGAGGAAATCATCCTAGGGAGACCTACAAATACAGTGATTATTAGCAATATCTCATTGAATAAAGATAACAAGTCTACAGCCAAATTACAGGGGGTAGAATTTACCATCTCAGTTTGGTGTATTGGCATGCTAACATTAGCTAACTAGCCCTAAACAAAGTATATGTATGTAGGGCTGATGGGAATGTCACAAGTTTTTAGGTTATTTTTACATAAGGTGCCAGATGGTGCGTAAGGAAACTACCAACATTTTCAGGTTTTGATTTACTTTGAGGGATATATGGATATCTGTAAAAAAAAAATGCATTATAGCAATTGTAGAGACATTTAACTTAAAACAGAAAAAAAAGCTGGGATTCAACAATTGGAAATTGGATTCGTCCGGGGACCTAAAGGTTCATGGCAATCTATCCAATAGTTGTTAATATGTTGAAATAGCCTCCCAACTGAGATACGGGATTGTCCCACTCTCAATAGTTATAAAGATTAACTCAAAGAATAATTGAGAAACAAACAGACGTGCGATCACCGCTAACTGCACTTTAACACAGGGGTATCTCCTCTTGCACTTTGTGCATCTCTTGTATCATCTCTTGCACTTAATATGTTGTTGCTGCTATAGTGTACTGCCATGTGGTAAATACTTGTGTGTGCTGCTCTTGCTCTTTCTGCATATCATGTATTTATTTTTTGCTATGTTTACAAATGTCATGTTCTTATATGTTGTATGTCAGGGACTATGGATGGAATTTAGCTCAAAGCTAAAATCCGGCATATTTACACTTGAAGCATTATTTGTTTTAAGGATTAATTAATGTGCATTGTCCCTATTCAAATAAACGATTAAATGAAAAAATAAAAATGTTGATACATTTGAGTCCAGACTGAAGTGGTGGACTAGCTAGCTAACTGACTGGGAGACAAACATTCTGTAAATTGCAAAACAGCTTCATGCTGCTACTGTGGCTAAAAAATATATTACTGTTAAATCAACATACCTTCAATGATGCTCAAAGCATTCCTGAGGGAATAATTCTCCCTCTCCAGTGCAGCAATCCTTTCCTCCAACGTCCTCTGGTAACTATATTTGTTCACCTCTTGGGCCTATCAAAAAGCACACCATTAAAAAAGAAGGTTAGGTTTAAAAGCCAGTGGTGGAAAGTTAGTTCTAAATAAATTTACTTTTTTTATATACGTGTTTTGAGGATTTAGCAGCCAGGTATGTATTGCACAGTTTAGGTACATTTAGGTCACTGCACTTTGGACTTAGTATAAAACAGATACATTCCTTCTGAAGATCCTTATATTTTTGGATAATATCTGTGGATGACGATGACTCCGGCCTTAGTTTTTTGCTTGGTCTCTCCTGAGAACAGACAACAACATACATAAATATTTGTTTTTGTGTGTGTATCTTCATAAAGTGGTGGTGTTTCGATTTTGAATAACTCACCTCTGACTGTTCCACGTCGTCGTCGTCCTCCAGAAAAGGCCTCCTTTTCTTTGCCCTCTTGCCTTTTCCCATCGGCCCGGATTGTTCCAAAGGTTCTTTACCTTCAACCAGCCGGTTCCTCATCTTGAGGAGTGCACCTTTGTCATCTATTGGAAGCAACAAATATATTCAGCCTATTACTTTGTACAATCCATGTATATATATATATATATATATAATGATAATGATAATGATAGTCTGTATAGGAAAATATAACATATGGTCATGCTACACCCATTAGTATACTTATGATACTTAGCTGATAATACCTAGCCAGGTGATTTAAACTACATATTAGTGGCAGCTGGTGAAAAATATTTTAGGTGGGGCTGTGGAAGATGGGGGGGATGGGGGCATATTTTATACCAGGGGTCTGCAACCTTTTTGAAACTGAGAGCTATACCTGAAGGATAATGAACTATGGAGGCCTGCTTTTTTTGATATAATCTTTCTGAAGAATATAAGTATATTTTTACTAATTACTGTTTCCAATGGGCGACACTTTCTTAGATAAAAAACACTATTTTTTATTTTTAATAATAATTTTAGAACGGATTATAGAGCGCCTTTCATTTAACAGATCTGAGGACGCTGATTGGCTGAAATGTGCTGCCATATTTTTCGGGTAGCAACGGTCAGCGGTTGGCTGCTGCTGCTGCGCTGGGGTGCTTAATTCCTAGGAGAGAGAGGGTAATGATTCTAATGAAACATATAACGGTTTAGATTTGATATACTAAACCAGGGGTACTCAAATACAAATCTTAAAGGTCCAAAATAAATGTTTCAATAAGACAAAGGTCCGTTTATTACGGTCATTCAAACTTTTAAACAATTGCAACAAGATTCTTAACACGAGGTTGCAAAAACAAAAATAATCTGTATGCAGCAGTTTTCATTGTTATTGTGTCTGTGCTTGACCCCTCAGAGTCGCAGAGCTGCACAGTTATGAATAAAGGCAGCTGCACCCTCTTTCATTCAGCATTCCCATTATTGCTTTATAAATGTCTTGCCCCCTTGTGTGTCCACTGAGGTTCGTCAGGCCCAACACATCTTCAACAAACTCCCCCTTTGCCTCATCATAAAAACTCACAAACACCAGCAACTGAGCATTGTCAGTGGTGTCAGTGGACTCACCCACAGCTAAGGAAATGCACTGTGCATTTTTTATTCCATCACAAAGCTGATGAATCAAATCACCAGCCAGTATTTATGTTCTTCTGGTTGCTGTGGAATCTGAGAGGGGGATTTGCTTGATTTGACCAGTTATTTCCTTTTTGTTTGCCTTCAACATGGTCTCCATCAATTCAGTCATGCATTCTTTTATACTGCAGTTATTATCCAGTGGAAAGTCCTTACCTACTGGCCTAGTTAAAGTGGTTACTTTTTTTTGGCTGGGCACACACCGTCTTATTTGACTTTCTCAGGACATAAAACAGTTTTTTGGGGGCAGACCCCCTCAAAGAAAAAAATATATTTACACACGTAAGGTCATCATCTTAAAGGTGGGGTAGGTAAGTTTGAGAAACCGGCTCGAGATACACTTTTTGTTATATTCCATGGAATGCTCTTAACATCCCGATAGCAATGAATATCTGAAGTGCTTTGACAAAAAATCCATTAAAAAATGTCATCTGTGGAAGCCGTGGTACTGTAAAAAGTACAACCAATCCGTTTAGCCGGGCCGGCTAAACGGATTGGATTGCCGCCCTGTCTGTCAGCCTTCCATCTCGTGCACGCACAAATGTATCTCGTGCCCTCATTGGGCGTGCATTGCAGCAGTACTTCAATGACTCGCCAGGCGGCCACTTTCACCAGTCTGCAGACGTCATGTGCGCGTTCGTGTGTGTTGGAGGAGGTGCTCTGTAAGGAAGTGTGAAGGAAGGGGCGGATTCTTTTCGGCTGTGTATTTTCACATTTTAGTGCACTCGAGCCGGTTTCTGAAACTTACCTACCCCACCTTTAATAGTTGTGTATGCTCATCCGTGAGCAGAGCATCACGTTGACATGTCTATTACAGCTGAATGCGGCGATTACCATGTTGTTCAGCAAAACGCCTCACAAACGTATTAAGATCAACAGCTTTAGAGCGTTTTGATTCAATGCTGAGTACAGCCAAACTGACAGTCTCTTCTCTGTCAGTGTAGACCGCAAATACCTCATTCCTTCAGTGCTTGGGTCCGAATGCTTCTCGTTTTGCGCCGTCCAGTTCAAAATGAACTCGCCGCCAATCGTATGTCCACGCTCGCGCCAGGACCGGGGGACGTGCATGACGTGCATCTTGTGCTGCATTCACTTCCACTCGGACATTAGAGACTTTCTCTCATAAATGTCCGATGAGCCACAACTTTTCTTTCAAAACAAAGCTGCCAACTGGGGTGGCAGCTGGGGTGGCAAGGCCTATTTTTAGGGTGTCAGTTGCCACCCCGGTAGGTGAAACTAGGCTACTAGCTACAGTACAGATGGAACTAGATGAGCTGTTAACTCTCGCTCTGAATTTTGTTTTTTTTTAATTCTCGCTCTGACTTAGACAGGTTGAAAGAGACACACACATTTTTCCCACCCGCATTCCGCGAAGACCCGCCCTACTGTGCCTCTGATTCGCAGATTGTTTGGGGGGAAAAAACGCTGACTGGATGCTGAATGTGATTGGACCAAAGCGTTGACAAACACAGGTGGATCACAGTGGAACAGTCAGACATGCAGAGCGCTGTTTGCAGTGGACATAGCGGAGAATTTTGACTTGTTGCGAATGCGTTGTGGCGATGTCTCACATATAATACAGAGAGATAATACATATGAAAACTATAATTTGCTCAGAGTCCGGAGACAGTGGTGGTTCGGTCCGGATCCGGACCGGAGTCCGTAGTTTGAGGATGCCTGTACTAAACAGTATTGTACTCAGGGCCGGACTGGGACAATAAGTCAGGCTGGGAATTATACACCCAGCCAGGCCACTATCAGTTTTCTTTTGTGCCATTTTCCTGGATTTATTTGTCAATATATACAGTGTTGCTGTGCAAATCTATTTAGGCGTTGCTGTGCACATCTAGGAACCTATCCATGTGAACATATTTTAAGTGGAGGTGGACCTGAAATCCTCTAGGGGGGTCCGGGGGCATGCTCCCCCGGTAAGATTTGTTTTAAATGTTGGACTTAAATGCATCAATCTGGTGCACTTTGAGGGGGAAATAAAGAGACTACACCCATATGAAACAGAACTGTATACATTTAAATAATCATAAAATCATAAGAACATGGCCATAACCAATAACATACCATATCCAATATGAAAAAACATTGAAACTTGTTTATTTATTTGTTTTTGGTTCATTTATAGTTGTGAGTGTGTCTGGGCTCCTGAATCAGCCTCACCCGTCTCCCCCTATCCCCCTGCTCCTCTTTGAGGCAGCAGCAAAGACTAGTTTTAGCTCTCAACAAGTTTATAAAGTTTATCCTTTTTTCACCAGTTAACATTTTTTTAAATTATTCATCAATATTTTACTAATCACTCCCCCTTCAAATGGAAATATGTGTTTACATAAATGGTGACCAAACCGTTTGAGACCCACAGAGAACTTAGACTAAGTTAACTATCTAAACACTCAGAGTCCTTTACCTCACCTGAGCTGTAGTTATCAGTCTCTCAGTCTGACAGGAGAGGACTCTCCTCCACCTTGTTGACAGCTCATATCCGTTAGCGCAGCTAGCTAGCATCAGATGCTAACAACAACAATACACGTAACCAGTGCGCATGCTTTCTCTCTCTCGCTCCCTCGCGCCACACATACACACACCCTCCCGAGCTTGAATGACACACAGAGACCAATCGAGGCCATTAGTGTATGATCTGTATGAAAGTGGCCATGTCGGCAGGCCACATCATGTATACAGCCAGTCACCCTCTGTGAGGCAGAGTCAGACCCACATTTGCGCAGCATTGGGTTCACAATACATTAAAAAAAGAAATTCCTCAGGCCAGCAGGCCACTTAACAGGCCAGGCCATCGGGAAACCTCCCGGTCCTCCCGATGGCCAGTCCGGGCCTGATTGTACTTATTATAAATATAAAACTTTCCATATAGCACCTCTATTGACCAGCCGCCACTGCTATATATTAACAAATACAACATAGGCCTAACAACTGTTAATAATGATAAACTGTACATGTATGATCTATTTAAATATGCCAACTTACCGCCAGTTGATAACACTTTCGCAGTCCAAGCTGTCTTTTTCCCATTTTGGGGCCACCAGACAAGATACTCCTTGTCCAATTCAGGATCGTACTCCCCCTCAATTAAATGTAACCGGCCAACTTCGATTGTATAATTTGTAAATTCATAGAGCCCGTACATTTTTGTGTTCAAAAGTAGCTCTAAGTAGTGGAAACAAAGTCATTACAATCCGGAGATTGCAGTTGGCACTGCGGTCTGTATCCTAGCAACGCTAGAGAAGCGGGAAGCGCGAGGCGAAAGTTGGGCACGCGCACGTCACCACTCACCAGCTACCCTCAGCGGCAGAATAATCCGTGCTTGGAAAAAGTTCTTTAGTTTTGATTCTCATTCACAAAAAGAGAGAAAACCTGAGAATGTGTAAAAGATATTTGTCAGATTTAGGTATAGATATTCCCAGGACTACAAAACGGTACCGGAGGACCCATATGGAGGCACAACTTGTGACAGGTAAGGATGCGGGTTTTCTCTTCATATTGGACAAACGGGATGAACTGCCAATATAAGACGTATTTCATTTGGTGGTTTTTGTCTCACATTACTGTATTCAACGAATTATAGCAGAGTATACTACAACATTTTGAAACGTTTTTTAGATGTACATGTATAAATTAACTTAGTGTATACTGCTATTATTCCTATTTTGATAGCAGTAGGGCAATATGTAAATTATGTTATAAAACATATAAAATCAATATTGACTCTAAAAAAGCTGAGACATATATAAACCAACCCTAGCTTTTTGCTGAGATGCCAAATTAAAATGCTCACAATCAATGTGTGTATAAATGTCTGTGTAACAGCTGTGTGATTTTATCAATTTACAGACTCTGACTCATCCAGTGATGAAGCTTCAAATGAAGATCGAATGGTGGGTGAGAGTATGTATTACAGTGACGATGAGGTTGTGTTAGATTCATTAAAATCATGTTATCAGGAGTTATTGTGTAGCCTTTTGCTTTTTGCTTTAACTCAGGCTGATCACCATTCTGGCGGGACATCAGATGACAGAGGGGAGGATCCACATCATGAAATGGTAGTTTTTTGCATCAACTGATCCACAGACTTAAGAAATTGGACTCACTGGTGGACTTAACTATGACTCTGCTACTTGATCACTGATTTTTTTTTTAATGCATTGCCACAAGGTCATCGTTCGTCCGTCATGTACTGTCTTTGTATCCTGCTTGAATGCTCTTTATGCCTGTCTCAAGAATAGCCCCTCTTTTTTTATTGAATTAATTTGATTTCAACTTTTCTGTCTCTCAGAGTGACGATGAAATAGAGATGGCTGCAGACGACGAAGGAACAGATCAACAACATAGCTAGCACAAACTGTTGAGACTCAATTTGTCTGCACATAATATGATGATTTAAATGTGTTTTTATTTATGCTATTATTGTTTTTTTATAACTCACTGTTTGACCATTAACTGTATTTTGTAATGCATGTGTGTTTGTGTCTGTGACTGGGTAAATCTGTATGGATATTTCTAAATATGTGAGTAAAACGCCACATTGAAGCGCTGTATGAACTCAGTTGTCTCATTCAATAACAACATTGAGAACATCTTTATCTAAAGTGTAATTCTTTGGCTATTTTGTGTGAAGATGTGTTGAAAAAGAAGATGAAAAGATATATTACCTAAAGGGAAACCAACTAAAACCAGCAATGAAAAATACTAAACAAGGTATAAGACTTGCATTCACATTTTTTTTTTTAAATGCATACAATGGGACTTGAGTGATTATCATGATACATACCATGGTAATGTCTGTAGTACCATTTGAATACTCTATGGTATACCATGGTACGTACTATTGTATACCATGGTACCTCAGATTTTACCATAGTGTACCATAGTACCATGGTACGTACTATGGTACACTATGGTAAAATCTGAGGTACCATGGTATACCATGGTACGTACTATGGTACACTATGGTAAAATCTGAGGTACCATGGTATACCATGGTACGTACTATGGTACACTATGGTAAAATCTGAGGTACCATGGTATACCATGGTACGTACTATGGTACACTATGGTAAAATCTGAGATACCATAGTGTACCATGGTAGTACCATGGTATACCATGGTACGTACTATGGTACACTATGGTAACATTTCTTATGGGGGTAGGGTTGCGTTCCAATAGTCCATTTAGCTTAGGAACCTTCCTAACCAAGTTAAATGACCCGGAAGTACGTCAGTGGCAGCCATGTTAAGTGCCGTTCCAATTCTCCAAATGCAGAGCCCTAGGCTGCTTCTCAGGTCGACTATTTTCATTTCCTCGCTCCTCGGTCCTCGGTCTCACCGGAAGTTGATTTGCCTGCGCCATCTTGAGTACCGTCCCATGGCTCTTATTTCTGCCGGAGGACCGAGGATCGAGGAGCGATCATGGAGGAGCGATAACCGAGGAACCACCAGACCATCCTCCGATTAAATCCTCAGATACTCACCCCGCCCCCTTACTGTGTATCGCTCACTGATTGGACGAGGCAGTGCATGCACTGATCTGATGCTTCTTGACATGAGAGCAGAGTGAAGAAAATACATGAACCTCACGGGAGTCACTCCTCAGTTTATACCGTGTTTTGTTTCAATTCATGTATCATTTAGTTACAAATATGTGATATATCTGAACAACAAAGAGGTCAAAAATCATTTAATTCATTTTTTGGAAACATTTTCATGATCGCTTTTTTCGTTTTACATTTTCATTTATTGTCATTTCCATTCAGTCAGTCATTAAGTGCTATTGAAATGTTAATTTACTACATATCCAAACAAACAAACAAAGTGTGCAATCCAATGAATGTTAATCTAACTGGGTTTTGATAGATAACATATCTCTTTTTCTTCTCTCAATTATTTTATTTCTATTGTGCACTCTAATCAATATTAATCAAACTATTGTTCGTTTATAAATTTTAAGAATGGCGTTTATCTTTTTTGAGAATTAGTTCTTATTTTATTTATTGGGGTCTACAACAGATGATACAAATGTTTGTGTCAGTAAATGTGTACTAACAGAGGCGGGGGGTGTGTGGAAATAACGGGGACAGAGCTGCTGTCAGACGATCAGCTGTGCAGCGTCATCACAAACGGACGTCGCTTCACGTGACGCTCCGGAGGAAAGGACGTCCCATTGCTCTTAAAACTCATTTCCCTGCTTCTCGTGGTTTCCTTGCGTCCCTCCATGCTTCCCTGGTGGGAGGGACTAAACGCAGGGAAACGACGCAAGTGAGGGAAGCAACGATTTAATTTAATTGACCTGAGAAGCAGCCCTAGAGAGATAAGAGTTACGACTCTTTGATGTCGCCGCCAGCCGGTCACGTGGTTTATGTATGCCGGGATAGTTCAAAACGCACTTCCGTCGCAATGCTTCTCTATGGCAAAAACAGCACAAACATGGTCAAAATAGTCATAGATTAAAACAACGCTGTTATTTTTTAAAGATTGCTTTCATATTTACATGATGTGGTTACACTTTGTATGGATTGGCACTATTTATAAGTTTAGTTATTTAACGATATTTTGAGGGGAAAGTGTGGTAGCACAAGCAGGCTATGTTGCTGTCACTGCCAGGGCAGTCACGTCCGTAGTATAGTTGCGCTGCGCTGTCATGTTCTTCTATGGGACAGACAGACAGCAGCGATTGCGTTATTGAATGGTAAATATATATATTAAAAAAACACACACACCCAAGTACTTTTTCAGCTGTAATTGCATTATTGCATACTTTTTATTGACAGTTTTGCATTTGGAGAGGCAGGGTGACAACGGAAAGCTTGGTAGCCTATTACTTAGATACATTTTTGGATGGAAACGTTTGTGTTCATGTTAAGACTATGAATATCATTTTACCACAACAGTGGATGAACAATTGATATATGTGTTTGAACAAGAACAACAGGAAGAACAAAGTAAAAGGGACAAACAAATGTGTGAACAAGTATTAAGAACAGTGTATGGAAAAAGTGATGTGATGTGGGATGTGTGTTAGAACAAAACAAAGTAAAATGAATGAGAAGGAGAACAAAGAGGGTTAGGGTTCAACAGAAAAAGATTAATTCAGCCAAAAAACACAATTTTGATTAATCTAAAGTGTAAAACAATCTTCAACACAGACCAAATTAGTGCCCTTGGACAACAAAACATATGGTGGGGCAAAGAAACGATAAATTAAATTGAGAGAGTGGGAGACTAAAAATGATTACTATGATAAATATTCAAACTATTTACAGAATATCCTGTTGAACCAGCAACAAAAACAGGTTTGTCAACAATAACGAGGCCACTTTGCCAGGGGGAGGTGATCCAGCGACGAGACAATAAATCAATTCATATTAGGTTCTGTTGAGACACTACAGAATATAAAACCTTCCAAGCCATGACCTCTGCCTGAAATCAGGATCACTCAGAAGAGAATGCAGCACATCAAACTGGAGTCAGGAGTGTGAATAACACATTTTGGCCAAAACAAATAGTTGCTTACCAATACAGTGACTGAACATTGGACACCAAAAAGTTTGACCTCATGTCGTCACGCAACACTGTTACTGCCCTAAGTCATTTCAAGATGGAGGAGTATGATAAGGCCATCAGCTTCCTCCGGGACTCCATCCATCTGTTTCGGGCCTGAAGATCGGTCCCAAGGGCAGCTGGAAACCAGTCCAGACAGGACTGGTGATGGCCACAACAACAATCCTGGAGGTCCAGCATGACCTGTTGAGACAAGGGCACAAATTTGTTCTCACAAGCCGCTTCACTCAAGACTGCCTGGAAAACACATTTTCGTCCATTTGTCTGAGGAACTCTGTCCCAACACCTGTAGAGTTCCAATATGCTCTGCGCGCTGTCACTGTGGGTGAAAAAAAAAAGTGCTAATTATTTTTTTTTTTAAGTGTTTATTTTGTTAAAAATAAACATTTTGGATGCATGACCATGTTTTAGGCTCATCCTTCATTCACTGCTGTAGAGTAGCCTATTCAGTAGGCTATTATTTGTTTAAGACTGAATAATACCTTTGAAGAACAATCATTAAACTAGTGTGTATATAGGCGTGTGGTGCAGTGGGTTGTGAGTTGGGTTGTGAGTTGGTATTCGGATCAGGAGGTCACAGGTTCAAACCCCACTGCAGTCAGCATGTCGTTGTGTCCCTGGGCAAGACACTTCACCCCAGATTGCTCCTGTGGGGATTGCCCACAGTATTGAGTATGTAAGTCGCTTTGGATAAAAGCGTCTAACAAGTGACATGTAATGTAATGTAATGTAATGTATATTACAATACAAAGGAATCTATCCTAGCATGCCATCAAGCATTAAAAAGTAGCGCTAGGCTAGTTGTACAGTACAGATGAGTTAACACGGAACAGTACAAAAAAAACAAGTACAGTCAACATGTCACATAATGAAATGTTAGTATATCCCAAAATTCAATGAAATATTAAATGAAATATTTATCACAAACGCCACCTCATTTCTACTAGTGCTAGCAGTTAAGTCATATCATACAGAAAAAGCCGACTAAGGATGGCTGACACGGTCAGGTTCAGCGGATAAAAACCAAAATAACAATAAAAACACATAATCAATCTAAATCCTGCTTGTTAGTTACCCAGCATCATTGATATATAAGCTGCTAGCGATTCATTACTGAAATCTTACCTTCAAAGCTGACGAAGTCGCGCTAGCTAACTAGCAGGCAATGCTAGCTATATTGGTTGTAACAACCAAGATAAAATATAGATAATTACGCTGTGCATATACAAATGAAGACCAGTATAAGCATCATAAAGGGCCTCTGGTACAATATAGACAGTTGACAATTCAAAAGAGTTCGATATTTCAGCAACTTACCTCTGGAACTCGACGCGCCGTAATGTAAGTGAATGAGGTTCAACGCCCAAATGACAATATTTTGAACTATTTCGATGTCCATACCCCGGAAGTAGGCGCCGCCATTTTTTACAACGGAGGTCTATGGGAGTGTCGTAACTCTTATCTCTCTAGGGCTGCTTCTCAGGTCGATTAAATTAAATCCTTGCTTCCCTCACTTGCGTCGTTTCCCTGCGTTTAGTCCCTCCCACCAGGGAAGCATGGAGGGACGTAAGGAAACCACGAGAAGCAGGGAAATTTGTTTTAAGAGCAATGGGACGTCCTTTCCTCCGGAGCATCACGTGAAGCGACGTCCGTTTGTGATGACGCTGCACAGCTGATCGTCTGACAACAGCTCTGTCCCCGTTATTTTCACACACCCCCCCGCCTCTGTTAGTACACATTTACTGACACAAACATTTGTATCATCTGTTGTAGACCCCAATAAATAAAATAAAATAAGAACTAATTCTCAAAAAAGATAAACGCCATTCTTAAAATGTATAAACGAACAATAGTTTGATTAATATTGATTAAAGTGCACAATAGAAATACAATAATTGAGAGAAGAAAAAGAGATATGTTATTATCTATCAAAACCCAGTTAGATTAACATTCATTGGATTGCACACTTTGTTTGTTTGTTTGGATATGTAGCACATTAACATTTTAATAGCACTTAATGACTGACTAAATGGAAATGACAATAAATGAAAATGTAAAACGAAAAAAGCGATCATGAAAATGTTTCCAAAAAATGAATTAAATGATTTTTGACCACTTTGTTGTTCAGATATATCACATATTTGTAACTAAATTATACATGAATTGAAACAAAACACGGTATAAACTGAGGAATGACTCCCGTGAGGTTCATGTATTTTCTTCACTCTGCTCTCATGTCAAGAAGCATCAGATCAGTGCATGCACTGCCTCGTCCAATCAGTGAGCGATACACAGTAAGGGGGCGGGGTGAGTATCTGAGGATTTAATCGGAGGATGGTCTGGTGGTTCCTCGGTTATCGCTCCTCCATGATCGCTCCTCGCTCCTCGATCCTCCGGCAGAAATAAGAGCCATGGGACGGTACTCAAGATGGCGCAGGCAAATCAACTTCCGGTGAGACCGAGGACCGAGGAGCGAGGAAATGAAAATAGTCGACTTGAGAAGCAGCCTAGGGCTCTGTCCAAATGAAAGGAAAGGAGGTTTCAAACTTCCTTTATAAATTATAACCTCCTTTAGCTTAGGAACCACTGGACCTCCCTTGACGAAAGGAGAGGAGAAAATGCTGCCCCACAATGCATTGCAGCCGCTGCATTTGCCGTCACACAACAGTCGGCCGTTCACGGAAACAACCGATTATGACGGAGAAATTATATCATGAAAGTTACGGTGCTTATTAAGCATTTTAAAACGTAGGTGGTAAGTTGCCAAAGTGCTTTGTTCTGAACGTTCATCAGTATTATAATCAAAAAGAGAAATATGAACGTTAGTTTTTACTGAAATTATCAAATAAAGTCAACATTTCACAGTCTTTACTGTGTGGGGTTTGTTCAACTTTTAAAAGATGTTTGAATGGTGATATACACAGTGATAGATGTTAAGGACTAACGTTTATAATAAATGCATTTGTATTGATTTTACGATATTTTCATAGTTCATACAATCATACGTATTGGGATCATTTGTATTAATGTGGACCGGAGGGAGAGGGTGACGAGCATAAGTTTCACTTTCCTTTTTTATTTCAATTCCAACTTTGGTCATGAAGAATATGTTTCTCTGTTGTCCACGTTCATAAAGCATAAAGCAACAGCATCAGAGCACGGTGCAGAGTCTCTAGATGAGTTTACAGTAGTCCCTCGTTCCCTCAACATCCATGTTGTAGTCCGCTGTAGAAAACTGTAGTTTCCAGTTTCCCCACAGCAGCAGACGCACATTCATGACGTCCGCTGGCGCATCATAAACACGTCGGATAGTGAAAGTGCATTCGGATTCTCTAAAGTACCGGGGCTGCTTCTCAGGTCGATTACATGAAATCCTTGATTCCCTCACTTACGTCGTTTCCCTGCGTTTAGTCCCTCCCACCAGGGAAGCATGGAGGGACGCAAGGAAACCACGAGAAGCAGGGAAATGAGTTTTAAGAGCAATGGGACGTCCTTTCCTCCGGATCGTCACGTGAAGCGACGTCCGTTTGTGATGATGCTGCACAGCTGATCGTCTGACAGCAGCCAGCTCTGTCCCCGTTATTTCCACACACACCCCCGCCTCTGTTAGTCCACATTTACTGACACAAACATTTGTATCATCTGTTGTAGATCCCAATAAATAAAATAAAATAAGAACTCATTCTCAAAAAAGATAAACGCCATTCTTAAAATGTATAAACGAACAATAGTTTGATTAATATTGATTAGAGTGCACAAAAGAAATAAAATAATTGAGAGAAGAAAAAGAGATATGTTATCTATCAAAACCCAGTTAGATTAACATTCATTGGATTGCACACTTTGTTTGTTTGTTTGTTTGTTTGGATATGTAGCACATTAACATTTTAATAGCACTTAATGACTGACTGAATGGAAATGACAATAAATGAAAATGTAAAACGAAAAAAGCGATCATGAAAATGTTTCCAAAAAATGAATAAAATGATTTTTGACCACTTTGTTGTTCAGATATATCACATTATGTGTAACTAAATGAAACAGGAATTGAAACAAAACACGGTATAAACTGAGGAGTGACTCCCGTGAGGTTCATGTATTTTCTTCACTCCGCTGGGAAACGGCTCTCATGTCAAGAAGCATGAGATCAGTGCATGCACTGCATCGTCCAATCAGTGAGCGATACACAGTAAGGCGAGTATCTGAGGATTTCATCGGAGGATGGTCTGGTGGTTCCTCGATTATCGCTCCTCCATTATCGCTCCTCGCTCCTCGCTCCTCGGTCCTCCGGCAGAAATAAGAGCCATGGGACGGTACTCAAGATGGCGCAGGCAAATCAACTTCCGGTGAGACCGACGACCGAGGAGCGAGGAAATGAAAATAGTCGACCTGAGAAGCAGCCCCAGTTGCATTCCAATAGTCCATTTAGCGTAGGAACCTTCCTAACGGAGTGAAATGACCCGGAAGTACGTCACTGGCAGCCATGATAAGTGCCGTTCCAATTCTCCAAATGAAAGGAAAGGAGGTTTCAAACTTCCTTTATAACCTCCTTTAGCTTAGGAACCACTGGACCTCCCTGTCACTACCCGATCTGCAGTTCTGCCCGATCTGCAGTGCGCATGTGCGAGATGGTCCGCCATATTGGACAACTCCGGACGGCAACCCAAGTAGGACAACATTGATACAGTGGCTTTTGGTAAAACTCAAAAGGAAAACTCGAGAGAGATGAGTTATTGTTATTACAACGTGACTTCACTATTATTTAACAACTCTTTTTATTGAGTTCTTTTATTTGGGGTTAAGTACATGAATTTAACTTCTGTTAGACAGCTATCATACTGAACACATATTTACTGTGAATGTGTGCAAAAATGTATGGCATATAGGGTTAGCTTTTCTTTCCGCTTTAACTAATGGCATTTGATTAAAAACTTCTGTGTTTATGAAACACGTAACTTAACAAATATATGGACATAGTTTCCAAGACGCCACTCATATTTTTAACTTCAACAGCTAGGATGTATCTGCTTCGCTTCACTTGAACCTATTTTACTATTAAATATCTCCTATTATACTATTTGTAGTCATATATTATAGGTATAGTATAGCCGTGATTAAATGCCATATTATGTTCCAAACCACATCAAGGATTAGTGATGGGCAAATTAAGCTTTTGTGAAGCACTGAGCCACTTGAGACAATTGTTTCGAAAAGCAAGCTTCAGTTACAGCGTCCTCTCGGACCTCTCCTGACGAAGTGCAAAGAATGCTGGAAAATATGGCATAGGTTGAGTGTGCTTGTGTTATTATTGCAGGGGGTGATTATGTGGGATGGGGAACACACGAAGATTTGTATTGAGGTACATTATTCTATTCTGCATGAGTTGATCCTGAGTCTCCATGCTTGCCAACTTTCTGATCTTGCCTCTCAGCTACTTGAGAGTTGTGAGAGTTTGTGCATCTCAATAGATTAGAATATATTGGAAAAGTTGATTAATTTCAGTAATTCTATTTTAAAAGTGAAACTCATATATTATATAGATTTAGTGAAGCGAATTATTTCAATTGTTAGCTTACAGCTAATGAAAACTCAAAATGCAGTATTTCAGAAAATTAGAATATTGGAAAAAATATATATATATATTGTATACTCAGTGTGACACTCTAATCAGCTAATTAACTATATAAAAATAACCTGCAAAGGTATCCTGAGCCTTCAAATGTTCTCTCAATCAGGTTCAGTAGTAGGCAACATAATCAGGGGGAAGATTGCTGACCTGACAGTTGCGTGCGTCTCCATTGAAATGAATGGAAAGGCGCGTGCAAAAACACTCGAAAAGAAAAGCTCCCGCACAGTTTCCCGTCGGAACTCCACAGTGGGACACACACCGGAAGTAAGCAGCACAAGCTTTTAACTCTACGCGGTCGAATCAGCGCCATGGATGTATAATAAGAAGATCAGCGCCATATAGATGGTTTGAATGAGTGTAAACACATATGGTCATTTCCGGCGCAATTAAACAACAATAATGTCTGCAGTTCCGAGTTTGAGAGAGTTTGTCAACGAGAGACTGACTGCTGCTGCTGAAGAAATATTGGGAGTTTTTGAAAGAACTATCGTCGAGTACGAGGAAGAGATTGATCGTCAGCGCAGACTGTTGAACATCTTACCCACAATAAAGTTACACAGGATAGGCGAGTAAACGTTTGTTTTAATAAACAATACAACACTTAGGTCGTCTATTTATAACTAATATTAATCGTTAAGAAGATATACTTGTTCTTATTGGTTTGTTTCCTAACCTTTACAATAGTGTATTATTATTATTTTCTTTTCTGTTTCTCCAGAGCTCCCTCAGCAAC